TATATATAAAAATATATATATAAAATACTTATACCACTTACTTTGCTTACTGAACAAGTGCTTACTTTGACCTAAGGCACCGCCTGAAGTAAACCAAGGATAAAATCCTGTATACCATTTGCAGCGTGCACGGAGTTTTGAATATATCTCAGGAAAAAAAATACTTGGAGAAGATGCCCAATGTCTTTAAAGAAACCCCTCAGTTCCTAGGATCCAGTACAGAAATTCTGGAGGAAAACTGGAAATAGATTAATATATAATATTTCTTATCTCAAATTGGCATAAAAAAAAGAATCACTAAACCCAAGTAACACAATAAAGGTCAAGATTAGACAGCAAAAGTCCAGACATGATAGAGATAGTTACAGCAACAAGAAAAAGGACTCCGATCTAGCATTTTTAGGGCTATATTAGTAACAAAATTAATTTTGGTATGCCACGATGGGATAACAAGGAGGATTAGCCCCAAATACAGCAAACTATGCTTTTACACTAAATTTATTATTTGAATTAATACATTTATATTAAATGCAAGAAAAAGACCAGCAACACCAGCTGTGCTACAGGTACCACTGTCACGAACATAAAACTAGTTCCACGCACACCAATACACCAGTATGGTTAAATAATGGCTTTAAATCATCTCTCTGGGAAGAAATACACAGCCGAAACACGCAGTTAAAGAAGGAAAACTCACTGTGTAGTGAAGAATAAGGCCACTTTGTAATGAGGCATGCATACATATGTACCCATTGCTGACTGACTAACTGGCCTTTAGAGGTAAGAAGGAAGACAGGTATCTTTCACAGTGAGCCAAAGGTAGGACACCAGGTGGAATCCTCCAGTCAGGCTGTGGGGCTCAAGGAACACAAAGACTTGAGCAGGAGAGACAGGGAGGGCAGTTAGCAAGAGCTGGTTCTGCAGTTTGGAAAAGACCCAGGGTGGGCATGCACCACAGGACAAGTTCCAGAGTTGAACCATGAGGAAGACTCAGATCTTCGTCCCCAATAACCACCAAGGACCACCAATGGAGGCGTAACTTGGGCGGACTGAGGCGGGACTATGGGAGGAAGTTATGTTAATGAATTCTTGGAAATTATTAGAATAACCCGACCTTTTCTTAGAAAGGTAATAAATCAAGAATCCTAACGCTTGTGCGCGCACGTATGAAAGAAGCTATCCCCCGTGCTGCCCGGCGCCGCAATAAAGAATTCCTGCTTCCTAACACTGAGTTGTTATTGAGTTTTCTTTGATTCAGCTGCATTTGTAAGGATTCAAATTGTGTCCTCGCTGCCTCACTAAGTTTTACCATTCCCTTGGTTTAAGCCAGACAAATGGAATAACTGTTGACGAATCAGTCTTACTTAAGTACGTGTTATTTCATAGCTAAACAGAGAATGAAGCTCATTTCATAATAAAAGTTACAGCTGGCAACATGGAAGGAAGGAATTTTAGCTGTGCTCAAAACTAATTCTTGTTTATTGGCAGTGTAATAGATACCTGAACCTCTGGGCAAAACCAAATCCAAGCTATTTCTGAAATCCATTGAAATGGCTTTTTTACTATTCTGTCATCTAACTGCTGCAGAGATACTATTTCTTTCCAGCATTTAGCAGACAGGAGAATCAAGTTATGCATCCTCAAGTTCTCATTTACTGCATTAGGGACGTTTCCGCACTAAAGTTTACTTTTACACCTCCTTTATTTGGTAATGAGAACACCAATGCTTGTCTCTATTGGGGTGGAGCTCCCAAACTCAGCTCTTCTGTCACCACCGAGAGAACCAGCGCCCAGCTACAAGCACCGAGTGTGCTCAGGCAGCCCATGACCTCAGTTCGGGCAGCTAACAATCAAGTCCAGAGTATTCTTGACTAAAAATGACAAAGAGACATTTGTTTGCACATTTAGAAGTCACTTAAGTCTGCAAAATACCCTTCCTGCTGGGGCGTTAAATACAACGGGCTATCCATTAGTGATGCAAATGTTACAGAAATCTTAAACCCCACCTTTTCAGAGGGCCACCTTAAAACTCAACTTCCAAATTGGCACCCCTGCCCCCACAAAAACTGCTGTTTTCCAGGGTAACACAATCACACCAAACGGTTATAACTTTTGATCGTCAAAATAAAGAGCAGCACCTCTGTATCAGTGAGACCAAACACACCCCTGCCACTTAAGCAAACCCCTCAGTGACTGCAACCGGACTCCAGATTTGATTCCAACAGTATTCTCGCCCATCACTATCACACTAACAATGGTAAGGACATAACTGGTTGGCTGTTCAGTGAGATGCAGGGGAAAAAAACAACCCTACAGCAAACCACAATGGCTGGCAGCTAATCAAATAGCAAACACAGGCTTTCTTTTTATCAAAGGTCCCCATCTGGTTTCAGTTTACTGTTTGAGTTAGAAATCTAATTCTTCCGCTATGGCTTCTGATGAAAGGCGAGATATGTAACATTCGGTTGTTATCTATCTAGCACGCCATTCATCCTCGATAACGCCAACGCCGTTAGATTATCTTACTTCTCATAAGGACTGAAGGGTAGCTGGCAATATTAGTCAACAACAGACAGATTTGCTCGCTTTTTGTTCAGAAAGTTAATCCAGGCTTTTGTCAGAGCTAGCAAAAAGAACAAAGCAGTGATCCTGCCAGTACTCCTTGTTCAAGGCTGATGTCCTACTGGCATCAGTGCTGCTACCACCACTCCAGTTAAGGAACGAAGTCCATAACGTTTCAATGCTCAAGTGTTTTCTTCAGAGAATTCTATCGCTATAGCGCCTACCTTCTTTTGGCAAAATAGCTACTGCAGGAGAATGGTCAATGACGTCATAGAGCTCTCTGCTCACATACTGATCAAGCTCAATGAGCCTTTCCGAGGAGGACTGTGACATTCCATGATCACTTGTGATGATGACATTTATCACATCCCACAGCTTGGCTTTCTTCAGTTCAGACATAAGGTAGCCCAGCTTTTTGTCAATATCGCTGATTACCGGTCCCATAAGAGGGCTTTCTGGGCCCAGAACATGGCCCATCTCATCAGGCTGTTCCCAATACAGGAGACCAAAGTTTATGGGTTCTTCTGCTGTAAACCAGTCCATCAGCCTAGCGACTCTGTCTTCGAAGGAAACAGACTCATTGTAGGGCATGTAATAAGTAGGAAAGACTCCATGTATTTTCACATCTGTTCCAGGCCACATAGCTGCTCCTGTTTTATGTCCGTCCCTCTGGTTCGTCACCCATATTGGGCTGGCTTCTTCCCAGAACTTGGAGTTATGGATAATCATTTTGTTCAGAGAGAAAGTCTCATTCAGAATAGGGTCATACATCTCATTAGCAACTATGCCGTGGCTTTCCGCATAGAGACCCGTCACCATTGTGTAATGATTCGGATACGTTTTCGTTACAAACACGTTAGTGACCTGTTTGACGTGAACGCCATTCTCCATGGCATAATGAAAATTGGGAGTTGAGACTTTATAGATGTAATCCCACCGAAATCCATCAAAAGATACTAGCAACACTCTGGGCTGGGCTGGCTGGAGAGACAACGCACTTGGAAGAAATCCTAAGAAAATGGCCAGGATTTCCCAACAACATTTCATGGCTATTCTCGAAGGTATTCGTCCACTCTTCTGAGGCAACACGGCATCTGTTGAGCAGAGACAGAAGATTTGTTTGTGTCCCGGTTTGACTGGGATGGAATCCCAGCCCAGCCATGCTGGTCAGGCTGCTGGCAGTTTCAAGCCAGCCAGGGCAGCTGACCCGAGTTACCTACAGGTGTAGCCCATCCCGTAATGTCATGGTCATTGTAAAGGGGGAAGGTTTGCTGAGCAAGTGGGGGGTTTCTGCTGGGGTCCCTCCTGCTCCCTGACTGTGGGGGCCAGACATTCTAGGCTGAGTATAACTTCATGTACTCTATTTGTTTTGCTGTTTCATTAAATCTGTTCTTGCGTCAGCCCTCAGATCTCCTCTCCTTTACCCAGTTCCCCTTCTCAGCTGGGGAGGGGTCATCGAGTGACAGAATAACTGCTACAGGTTAGCCCCGGTACGGGCTGAATGTTGACAAACAGGTTAACACAAACTGTCTAAGCTGTAACTTAGTTTTAAGAATGAGTTACTACAATATTCCTTCTGTATTTATGCAGCTTGTCTTACTAACACTGAGCCCTCCAAATACAGGAATGAGACCTTTTACCTACCAGTTACATTGATATCCCAATTTCAGAGATGGGACGTGAGACACTACAATTTGTTGAACGGAACACAGTTCACAAAGCACCTTCTTTATCCAACACCACTGCCCAACATCTTCCTTTTTTCCTTCCTGCTCCTCACACATCGGAACTCCTGTTTTCAAGTATTTTCTGTACTGAGAGTTGTAAGAAACTGTGCTATGAGAAAGCTTCTGCTTGTTAGGAGTTAAGATGTAAACAGGGGCAGTTCTCACCTTGAGAGTAACAAGGTCCATCTCCACCAGAACTTTATGACCCTCATTAAAATCTCCGGAGCGTTACCTCTCTTCTGCCCAAGCGTGGCACTGACAGACTGGCATCACGCAGCGTGGCAGCGGATGGGAGCAGTAAGTACACCCTGGAACTGGAGGACTCTGCCCAGCTCCCATCAAGGAGGGGGGACCAGCGAGAAACCATCACAGCTTCTCAGCCCCAGCACTCAGCGTGGGATTGCTAAACGTGCCGAGCGCCATTTCTAGTGGAGAAACTAGCAAACAGGCTTTGAATTTCAGGTACAGCAGTGTACTCATTAAAAGGCTTTGCTGCTTAAAAGGTGTCTGATCAAGAGTTAGACAAACAAAGAGCAGGAACATCGTTTCCCCAACGTTTTATCACATCTCTAACCTGATCATAGCTTCCCCACATAACCGAGCACAACTAATTGTGACCCTTCCTACCAAAGGTCACTTCCAGTGCACCGACAGCTTTACAAGCAGGAACTTACACAAGTCATTGTGCAGTTTAAGTTCTCACTAACAACTTAGGTCTCTGAACGGACTGGAAAGAGGTGGTTGAAAGATTCAGCTGTGAGCCACTGGAAATACCACATTGGTCGAGCAAGCACCGTCTGTCCTTTCCAGTCAAATACCACCGATACACGACTACAAGCAGCACAAAGTGCACGAGAAATGCAATGCAAGTCCCGTCCGTGAACTGCATGAGATGGCGACCACTACACACCGCACCCTGAAGCACTTGCTCCCCAGATAAACATTCAGCACTAGTTCTGATCATGTGACTCAAGGATATTGACTGCTCCTAGCTATGACTGGCATCCCTTATCTGACAGCATGACAAAACGACACACATGATTTCACGCTGTATTGGGCTGTGCTCCCCTGCCCCAGCTTCCCTCTGCCCTTCCCAAACACTTCCTTGTTCAAAACTCTGTTACCTAACTCAAAGTAAGATCCCTGTCACCCTCTCACACAGGGCTTCCCTACCTGTCACTGACCTAAAACGCTAACGCTCCCCACTTCTTGCACAACAGCATCATTTAACCACAAGACCAGATACTGTTCAGTTCAGTCCTGCATGTGGACCGTACTGATACTCCACACAGCTTCCTTTAGGTTCCCATTTTAGCAACCCCCTGGAACGAGTCACTGCTGAAATTCAGCTGGAAAACAGTGACTGGCCAATCAATAAATCCATGTTAACACCCAGAGTACGTAAATATCCCAGTTAATATAAAAACGTGTAGTGTAACAAGCACCTGACTACCACTGCAACAATGGAATAGGATTTGTCATCTTGGGAGAGCACGAGGTGTCTTCCATGGGAAATTTTCCTCCTCCAATTCCTCAGCTAAATCCCTCATATGTGTATCTACGCTGGAAAACAGCACAGGCACTTCTGACTTGCAGTCAAGTGTCACAGTGAACTTCTGCGTCTCCCAAAATTAAAATCCACGCCTGCTAAGAACAAACTGACACTTCAGAGGCTCCAGTGCCCTCCCAGCAAACAACACAGACCCTAAGGCTCAGTTTCATCTGATGTGAGATTTCTTTCAGCTCAATCTGAAGGAAGAAAGGGAGAACACACTGTGTGTCCCTCTGCCGAATTAAGTGTAGCCCAAGGCCGAGTCATAAATTCCCCTTTCTGGGGAGTGGCAAGTATGAATTTAAGTCCTCTCAAGTGAAATCAGGTCCTTACTTCTGAGTTTTACACAGCTGATGATGTCAACATCACCCAACTCTTTAATTGCCTATTTTTAATAAATGGGGGTTTTTCAAAGCCTTCCTATACTGGTCTGCACTGGGTACGCAGTGGGCACGCCTGCTGACCCAGGCCTCTGCAGAAGCCCAGCACCACCCAGCACAACCCTGGGGTCCTCAAGGGGCTCTGGGGGGACAGAGGCACCTGGCTGTGCCCGGCAGGGAGCTGCCCCACGGGCACCCCGGAGCTGCCCAGCGGCCCGGGGAGCGCCGCACCCGGGCGAGGGGCAAGGGCAGGCGGGCAAGGGCGGGCAGGCC